TCCTTGTTCACATCAATGTGACTGTTTGTAGGTTTTGTTGTTCCTGAGTTATGGCTGCACAGGCTAAAATATCTACTATCCGGTCCCTCGTAGAAAAAGTCTGCTGATATCAGAATTAGAAGATTCAATATTGCAAACAGGGTACTTTTCTCTAAAAAGATGTACAGAGTTAAAGCACTCCAAATAATCTCAGCAGGCTTATAGAAATTAACTGAACTCATTCTAAAAGTTCTACAGGGCAAAGAATTATTTAATATGGCTCTTTTAGCCAAAGTCTCTAATCCCATAAATGACCTTTCCCTGCACGGGTCTGGTAAGAAGGTGAAGGACAATACTGATAGGATTCACCTGTGAGTAATTTGAACAAGATTGCCTGGCAGGTCATCCTGCTGTGTATAAAATGAGTCCTCTGAGAACAGGAGGGGTCTCGTTACCAACAACAGGCAGAAGTGAAGCATGTTCTCTGGACCAAGATTCCTGTACAGAAGACAGCAATAACATCAGAGCAGCAGCAGCAGCAGCAAGAGCCAGAGCATGGAACAGAGGGATGGACTTCCCAGCCCAGGAAGCAAGCATAGCTGCGTGTTTTTGTGCAGGAGGTTGATTTGCAGAGTGGGGTGCCTAGGGGCACTTAATTGGGGAAGTGGAGCTGAGTGCCTTCGGGCTGAAGCTTTCAGTGGGGTGATCCTGGGCACTCAATTTAGGAAGCTAGGTTTTTGCTTATCCATGGAGCTAATGCCTTTGGGGTGGAGGCCCGTAGCAGAGCGGTATGCCCTTTGGGCATTTATCAGCAGACTTGACAGAAGTTTCTAACAACTCAACCCTGAGCAGTCCTCCCTGCTATCCCAACGAAACTTCCTTAATAAATCCTTTAATCGTGAATTTTATCTGTGAGTTCCATGCTGCCATCGCAAAGGATCTTAGAACCCAGAGAAGTAAAATAGAGAACACCAATTAAAACAGCACAAGTTCTTTGAAAAAGGTAGAATCGCTGCAATAATTGTTTAAAAAAACAAAAGTGGAAGGACTATAGAACTTATAAGATTACTACAGTAATCAAACCACTGTGGCTTCAAGTAAAGGTAGACATACTGATAAGACCAAGGAAACGGTAAAGTTACAGAAATAGACCTATAAAGTCAACTGATTTTTAACAAAGATGCCAAGGCAATTCACTGAGAAAAGCACAGGCGTTTCAACAGATGCTGCTGGAACAACAGCATATCCATACCACCCCACCCCTCCAAAAAAATCTAACTCGGAATGAGATCACAAGACCAAAATACAAAATATACAAACTTCAATGAGATCACAAGACCAAAATACAAAATATACAAATATAACACTGAATAACTTCTCTGAACCCAAGATTCCTATACAAAAGACAGCAGTAACTACATTGTGAAAAACTACACTGTTTCAGAAACCCATCTTCTGTTAGGACAGGCAAATACTGCTTAGACAGAACACAAAACACACGAACCATCAGAGATATAAATAAATAAATACAATTTTCATCAAAATATTGTTCAGAAAATGACGGGCAAGTCATTGGCTGGGAGAAAAGACAGAAATCTGTCAAAGGACTTGCAGCCAGAAAATATAAACAATGAGATAATCCATTTTTCAACTGGCAGACATCTGAAAAGACACGTTACCAAGATAACAAATACACCTACTCCTCACTTACTGCTCTCATTATCCAACATTTCTCACTTACAACATGGAAAAAATTCTCACGTTGCACCTCCAATGGTCTGGGCCTCAAGCAGGTTCATGGCCAGGTCCAGGGAGCCCTCCTCAGACCACTATGAATGATATACTGGAGCCCCCAAGGACAAGTCCATGCCAGAGACAACAGCTGATCAGGATTGGGACACCCTCCCTCTCTGTTCATCTGCATTTTCCTGGTGTGACATTGAAGGGCATCAGGCACGGATTAGAAGATACAACAGCATGGTGGGCAGGGGTAGACCAAGGGAGGGCCCCCAAAGGTGCCAGAAGGAGGCAAGAAGGGGTTCAAACTAGACTGTAAGGCCAGGCCAGAACAAGGATAAACTGGGTCCTCACCCAGGGCAGGTGGCAGGAAGCAGCAAGTAAAGGGGGAGGTCCTAGCCCAGGGTGGGCTGCAGCTAATGGTTAGTAGTAGCCAACTCCCAAGCACTCCCTGTGCCCTCCCCCATCAACAAGCCCCACAGGCCCCATGGTGGTGGAAAAGGTGTGGTGGGGAGAGATGGGCCCTGCACCATTCACATTCCAAGATGCACTGGGGGTGCCAGGTAATCGGAGGGGACCTGGTGCTGAACACAGAGCACAACTCAGGGCTCTCGAATCACGCCGTTTTTGCATTCTGACTTCATCTTTGGAACGTAATCACATCTATGAGAAGTGGGTACAGCAAATCATTAGATGAAAAGATAGTTTGGTATCATTATCAGGGAAATGCAAGTTAAAATCATCCTCATCAGAATGGTTAATATCGAAAAACTCTACAGGACCAAGTGTTGGCAAGGATGCAGGGTCACCAGCCCCACACATCCCTGAAAGGGACAGAACATGGGGCAACCACTTAGGAAACACTCTGATGGGTTCTAGTACTGTAAAGTCAAATGTGTGTTCACCACATAACCCCAAAGTGCCACTTAGATATTCGCCCAAGAGAAATGAAATCACTCGTCCACACAAAGGCCTGTACGAGAATATTCACAGCGGCGTCCCTGCTTACTACCAAGACTAGGACACAACCCAAGTGCTTGGCAACGGGTGAATGGGTGCACAACCTTCAAATATTCAAACAGGAAAGCACGACCCAGAAATACAAAGGAATGTATTACAGATACATCAGCAACATGGATGAATTCAAAACCAGCAAGGGTAGGGAAAAGACGGAGCAGTAAAGAGAAAATACGATCCGGTCGTATTTAATGGAACTGGAAAAGACAAAGCACATTTGAGTGACAGCAAGGCTGAGTGGCTGGCTGGGGACGGGGCGAAAGGCCAGCTGACTGAGGAAGCACACAGGCTCCGCTCGCTGGGGTCGCTGACGGTTACCGCAGGGATGTTCACATGCGCCCAAAGCCCTCCAAATGTGCATTGTTGACATGGATGCACTTTATTTTATGTTAATTACAGCTCCAAAAGGTTGGGCTTTTTTTATTAGGGAAAAGTGGGAACTTTCTGAGATGATAAAAATAAGGATGCTTAGGGGGAAAAATTAGCTGACACCAGGGGCTCAAGTGGAAAGTGGGTGTCGTAAGAATGATGAAGTCAACATATGTACTAAAGTGCTGGACACAGATGATGTATGTACAGATTGTAATGAGTTGTATGAGCCCCTAATAAAATGATTATTAAAAAAAAAGAAAAGAATTAAACTATATATAATTTTTAAATGTTAGTAAATATAAAAACAACAAAACATATATACCATTAATTTTAATAAATTTTTATTAATGGAATTAAAAAAAATAAGGATGCTTGCTCCTTTATATTTTGTATGTCTTTGGATTTTTTTTCCAATTCCTCCACAGGTGGGGAGAGACAGGGAGGAATGGCCTAAGCACAACGAAGTGATTTCTTTCAACTGTCAAGGAGAAAATATATATTGACTTTTCTCCACATCATGGACCTTATCAAGACGGGGAGCTCTAGTGGCATCACTGGTTACACATTGGGCTGTAATCCAAAACGTCAGCAGTTCAAAACCACTAGCCGGCTCCTGGAGCATTCTACTTCGTAAACAGTGACAGTCTTGGAAACTCCACGGGGGCAGTTCGACCCTGTCCTACAGGGCTGCTTTGAGCCGGCATTAACTTGATGGCAGTGAGGGGTGAGGACCTGCTATTCACAACACAATAAAAAGCAAACAAATTGGAAAAATACATGCAATACTAGGGTCAGTCAAAAAGGATTGCTGCTAAGGTTCACACGCATATTCCCAACTAAACATGCTGTAGACATGTCTCAGGCAACCACCGGAGAGTTGTAGGCGTGCTCTCTCAGTAAAGCACTTGTCTTGGTCCCCTGGTGGTGCCTTCTAAAAAGGTCCAACCAAAACAATGCCTGCTGAGGGGAGCTGCTGGGCCAGTTCAATCTAAGGCAGTTCAAAGGATGCGGTGACGGTTGACATCTTGATAGATTTTCTCAAAGACACAGGATGATTACAGAGGTTTAGTAGGAAGGTATTTTAAGGAAATGGAAAACTAGTAAGAAAAGGCCCAGAAAATCGTGCCACATAGTTTGGGGGTTTTTCATAATAATACACCTGCTCATTCCTGGAGAGGAGCCCTGGTGACGCAGCGGTTATGCGTTGAGTTGCTAACCACACGGTCAGCAGTTCAAAACCACAAGCTTTTCTGCAGGAGAAAGACCGTGCTTTCTATTCCTGTGAAGAGTGACAGTCTCAGAAACCCCCAGGGACAGTTGTACCCTGTCTCCATAGGGTCACGGTGAGTCAGGATTGACTCAATGGCAGTGAAGGCTGTTGGAATAGAATTTTACTGGGAAACCTTACCCCATCCACCCTACAGCCCCGATCTAGCTTTTTGTTCCCCAAACTCAAAGGGTGTTTCAAAGAAACACAATTGGCGCCCCTCAAGGATGCAAATGGACAGGATGGAAGTGAAGAACATGGAATTCTCTGGGGAAAGATTGGAGAGATGGAAACACTGCCTTCAGAATGGTACAGACCTAGATAGAGGCCGTGTTCACATTTTGATATTTTTGTTTAAAAAAGGTTCTATGAGAAGATAGCCATACTATTTTGACTTACCATAATAAATGGCAAAGTCTTTAGCACCACTATCATTGAGAAGTTATTCTCAATCATAAGGGAAAAATCAAAAGGCAAAAGGGGAAAACAAATAGCTGAAACTTAAAAATAATGATGCTGACTATATTTAGTTCTATACATTTATTTTAATGTAAATAAATGTTTCTAATTATAATCCACCAAAAGCTCAGAACAAATGTACAGTCTTTTATAGATTATGGTTACATACCTGACAACATACTAGGAAAATGAAGAGAGTTATAGCAGTCCACAATACCTTCTCTCTAAATTGAATCTGTAGAAACATAAAGAACCAATCACAATTGACCAAAAGTACAAAACAGCAGATATAAAGTGAAAGTCATTTTACATGATCAACAGCATTCTCCCACCATGAAATCTGCCCATTCTTTATTTTTAACCTCTTCCTTTCACCCGAGTTAGTCGTAGCTAAAACCAACCACTATGATTTCTACAAAATAATTTTGACTTTTCTAAAAAGAAAGTAATTTACACGTAGGTAGTCCTCACTCACTACCATGCGATGTTAACGGAACTGGACAGAAAGTGGGATGCAGTTCAAGTATGTGCCGTGCCAGCTGGGACTACCTATAAGGCCATTATATGGATATTTCAAAGGCCAGGAAAAGCTCCAGTTTCTTAGGATGCTGGCTTAAATGGAACCAGAGTGGCAATTGTTATCATCTCAAAGCAATAAAGAAGAAAGGTACAGAACTTCTGAATACAGTCAGTTTAATCAAAGTTTACTTATCGCTTTCTGTGTCTCTGTTCCTGTTAGACTGTGGGAAATCAAAAGTACTGTAATAAAGGAATGTCAGGGAGCTGACCCAATTTGGGATTACTAATAAATATCCCAGAGATTTAAATATCATAGCTCCCCAAATGCACAGTGGTGGATGTATTACTTGATCTAGTCATAGCATCTTCTGAAGGAATACCTGTGATTTTTCTTTCCATAAATGGATCAAGAAATGAGACGTATATTCTTGCCCAATTACAATTCATCTCTTTAAAACAGTCAGACTCATCAAAATCTATCCAAATGTGTACATGGGTCATGTGTAGTACAAGAGATCGCATTCCTAGCCATCACAATGCACCCTTGATACTCAAGCTCCCTGCCATTGAGTTGATTCTGACTCGTAGAGCCCCTACTGGGCAGGGTAAAACTAACTGCTCCTGTGGGTTTCTGAGACTATAACTCTTTACTGAAGTAGAAAGCCTCACCTTACTCCTTCAGAGCGGCTGGTGGTTTCAAACTGCAAACTCTTTCTTTAGTAGTCCAACCATAACCACTACACCACCAGGATTCCTTATACCCTGTATTACAGTCATCAGATATGAACACTATAGCCTAAGCCAGTGGTTCTCAACCTTCCTAATGCCACAACCCTTTCATACAGTTCCTCATGGGGTGGTGATGCCAACCATAAAATTATTTTCGTTGCTACTTTATCACTGTTAATTTCCTACTGTTATGAATCATCATGTAAATATCTGCTATGCATGATGTATTTTCATTGTTACAAATTGAACATCATGAAAGCATAGTGATTAATCACAAAACAATATGTCATTCTATATTGTGAAATATTTCTTTCTAATGACAAATAAATTGTTGTCTTGAAGCATGGTGTAGCATGGGGAACAGTCTTCATACCGGGTACTCTTATGTGGGTATATATGCACGTGGGCGGACCCACCTAGAGGCGGATAGAGGAGTGGTGTCTCGGTTCCTAAGTCAACTGGAAATATGTTTCCCAATGGTCTTAGGCGACCCCTGTGACAGGGTCGTTCAGCCCCCAAGGGGTCACGACCCACAGGTTGAGAACCGCTGGCCTAAGCTTTAACTAATATATAGGCCAAAGAAACAACTGCCCTGGACATGTTCCACCTCAGCTTTTTGTGTGTCTGAAACCATAAGCTAACCCGTCTAGACTAGACCAGGTCTACACTAGCTTGACCCATGTCAGGAGGATGAACAGCAATATTTTTCCCAGTGTAGTCAAAACAGTGTTTGGGGGTGTAAATCCTGGTTTTCAGAATGCTTCGTCCTATCACTACCTTCCACAGTCATACAAGATGATACTTACTTTCCTTTCCGGCTTCTGAATTTCGGGTAGGACTGCACAGAAAGGCTTGATAACTTCTAAGAACTTGACTGTCAAACAGAAAAAAGAACACGTGGCCCCACGACAAAGGTTAGAGAACAGGGCTGTCTCTTTTAACCGCATCAAATACGAAGGCTCACTTTCAAGGGCCCTCAACCCCATTCCCGCTCAACCCCACCCGCATAATTGGTTCATTTAAGACCTCCCCATTTCAAATGGACATCCAAGGACGGGGATAACGCCAAAGCGGAAAAGGATCCCAAACTTTTGAGGGCTGTTGTAAACAAAAACAAAATAATGCAAGTATCCATTTACCATTTCTTTGCGTCCTTATGCTATGCTTCCAGCACATGCCTGGGTATGGGGTGTGTGTGTGTGTGTGTGTGTGTAAAGGAATTATTCAAAAAGCATCGTCATTAAGTAAAAAAAAATAAGAGAGAAAATATTGAGGCATCCATACTGGTGGAATTGATGGATGATGCCTAGACTGGAAAGTACCCACAAAACAATGTGTGTGTTGTTTTAAACAAACAAAAACCAGGAGCAATCAGAGGAGGAATAAAGGAGAATGCTATTCTCCACTGAAGAAACTCTAACAGAAAATGGGCTCACACTGCAGAAACTACTAAATTCACACAAGCAAAAGATGCAGAAATGCTTCTGAGAAAATCCGCACAATCACCTTTTATAGATAGCCTTGTGAAGTATGCAATCTCCACTTCGTTTCCTTAGGCCACTTTTTAAAATAAATCATTTTATTGGGGGGGTCTTAGAGCTCTTATAACAACCCATACATCGAATGTATCAAGTGCATTTGTACATATATTGCCATCATTATTTTCAAAACATTTTCTTTCTACTTGAGCCCTCGGTATCTGCTCCTCTTTTTCCCTACCCTTCCCCACTCTCCCACCCTTGTGAACCCTTGATAAATTATTATTTTCCTATCTTAGACCGTTCACAGTCTCCCTTCACCCACATTTCTGTTGTTCATCCCCCTCGTGCGGGGGGATGGTAATACATCTATCATTGCGATTGGCTTGTTCTTTCTACCCCCTTTTCCTCCCACCTTCCCCCTATCTTCATGGTATCTCTACTCCCATTACTTCCTAAGGGTTTTATCTGTCTTGGATTCTGTGTGTCAAGAGCTCTTATCTGTACCAGTGTACGTGCTAGAACTGGATCATGATAGTGGGCGGGGGGATGCATTAAGGAACTAGAGGAAAGTTGTGTTTCATCGGTGCTGTACTGCACCCTGACTGGCTTGTCTCTTCCTCGTGACCCTTCTGTGAGAGGATGACCAATTGTCCACAGATGGGCTTTGGGTCTCTACTATGAACCCTCTTTCGCATCGATGTTTGTTTTGCGTCTTCTGATACCTGATTCCGTCGACATCTCATGATCACACAGGCTGGTGAGCTTCTTCCATATGGGCTTTGTTGCTTCCCTGTTAGATGGCACTTTTTTAGCTTCAAGCCTTTAAGACCCCAGATGTTATATCTTTTAATAGCCAGACACCATCAGCTTTCTTCACCACATTTGCATATGCACCTATTTTTCCTTCACTGATCGTGTTGGGAAGGTGGCATCACAGAATGCCAGGTTATTAGAACACAGTGTTCTTGCATTGAGGGAGGACTTGAGTATAGACCCAATGTCCATCCGCTACCATGAAACGTAGCATTTAAATATGTGTACATAGACCTATATCCCTATTATATATTAATATATTTATATAGACACACACCTAATTTATACCTCTATAATTGTCTTTTGCCTCCTACTTCTTTCCTCTACACCCATGTACTTTCCTCCTGTCCTACTATCGTGTTTGATCTTCATTTGGCTCTCAATAATTCCTCTCAGCTACACTGCACTTGATCAAACCCCACCAGGCAGTCTCTGCCCTCCTCGCCATCAATTTTAGATCTCTTGTCGTTCCCTTGTCCCTGGGTCTGTTGACTCCTCCCTCCCTTTCCCCCACCTCCTCCTCTCCCCTGTTCCCCCAAAGCCATCAGCTTGTTGTTTTCTCCTCAGGATTGTTTATCCTGCTTATTACAGATAGACATGAGAGAAAAGAAAAAAAGGGGGGGGCTATAAATAATATCAGGTCTGTCTGCTGACCCTTATGAATGTTTTCCAATCAGGTCTGGTGAGGTGCCACACCCTGCCCAGCGATTCTGTAGTTGTTTCAGGATTCCTGGAGGACTTTGTTGCTTTGCTTCCCTTGCTGCTCCCTTACGCTCCCTTTGTGTTTTGCCCTGGTGTAGGGGTCATATTGGGCACAATTACCACATTTGTATCCCTGGTGCTGCCGCCCACAGTGCTGTGGGTCAGTAAGGGGGCATTGTGTCTCCTGGCAGAGCCAACCCTAAGGTCCTCTCTGTGCATTGGCTGCTCCGAGCAGGAATGTCGTCCTCAAGGCTTGGTGGGCTGGGATGTGGTTCTCTTGCTCTCTCTTTCCCTCTTAGTTTCCTTAAGCCACATTTATAACCCCAAAGTCCCAATAATAACCTCAAAGTACATGTTTATGTACCACAGTCAGTCCAGAAAACAAATACATTTTCATTAGAAAGGACTGTTTTCCCTGATGTCTCTTACAGTCCGAGGGGGCTTCAAAAAGTTTGTGGAAAAAATCCGTTATCTTTTAATTCCATTTTTCCATGACTTTTATGATGTCCCTACATATAAAAGATAAAAAAATAAACCAAGGTTCTTTAAGAACTGTTGGACAATTATCTTCTGGCATGGCTTAAGTCAAACCCTGCCAGGGAACTGGAGGATGAAGATGATAATCTTTCAAAGGTCAGTCCTTTGCCAGGAGTCTGTAACACAGAAGAGAAACACAAGAAGCCCTAGCTAACTATTAGATATGATCACCTTCCCCTATAGGGCACTGGATCCTGGAACTAACATGTTGACACAGTTTTAAGATGGTATGTTAATTACACTTCCAGTTAGCTGAAATTTGGCTATATTATCTTTCTGATAACCAAATCCACTGCTATAGAGTCAATCCAACTCATTACAACCCTATATTTAACTCAGAGTAGAACTGACTTGGTTTCCAAGGCTGTAGTTTTAATGGCAACTGAATGTCAGCCACATCTTTCGCCTACAGAAGGGCAGGTGGGTTTGAACCACCCACCTTTGATATAGCAGCCCAGGGCTTACTCCTGAGACACCAGGGCTCCTTATCATTTAAGAAAACCTCTCGAAATGAATGCAGTCATTGATATTTAATAGAAGAATTCAGCAGTTCTCCTGGGCTATTTCAGAAGTAAATCTGAATTACAAAGGCATTGATCTCTACCACAAAATAAACACCATTCACTTAGGACAATTCCCAGAATTCTTTTCCTTTCCCCCTCAATCCAAGTGACTCTACTGGATTTGTTGGCATTATGATTATCTGTGTTGGTGTACATATTTTCAAGTAGTGCTTCTGTCTGCCATTCAATCTATTCTTGTGAAGAATTTTACCCATTATAGAGTTAAATTCAAGGTCAGGGTCTCCTCTACTGCCTCTGGTAAACTTCCAGCAAATGTCCAATAGCTGGGCAATGAGTGTCCTGCCTGAGTATGCAGTTTTCCATTCATTCGGCAAACACCTGAACAGCTATGAACGTGTATGCAAGTGCTGAGCGTTGGGGCACAGGGCCGCACAAGATTCCCCCTAACACAAGGTCCTCGTTCTGTGACTTACACAACCTTATCCACAGTAACTTTCCAGTAAATGCTGGAGAATCATTCAAATGAAAAATTTAAACTCTATGCTATCTATAGCATTCCTTTCCTCTCCTAACATAGTTCATGCATTTCTTTTTTTAAGTAAAAGGGACCCGGAGCTTCATTCATCACAACGAGCATGGCACGAATGGGTAATGAACAGAAATACTCCTGCAAGCTTCCAAACCAGCTCCTAAAAAATTTAAAAAGGGGGTCCAGCTTTAACCGGGTTCCATGCCGCAGCCCCCCAAAAGCAAACCAATGGTCTCCTCGTCCCCTACCGAGGTCACAGTCTCCTAACTTGGGCTGCCGTGGCCCCAGGCGGCAAGAGGAGGCTCGGTGGCGGCTCCGCGCCGCCCCTGGCGCAGCGGTCGGGCAGCTCGCGCATCCCGGGCCCGCAGGCTGAGCCACCCGGGCGCCGACCCGCCCGCAGCGCTGCGGGTACCCGAGCCCCAGGGGAGCACCGCACTCCCCGCGCCAGCCTCGCACCCACGCGCGCGTGCAAGCCGCAGTCGGCACCACCGCGCTACTTACTCCCCATGGCGGCGGCTGGGGTGGGCCAGCGGGTGGCAGCGGCCTTGGCGGTCCCGTCCTC